TTTTATTTTATTTTTATGTTTAATTAATTAATATGAATTGAATTTAAATTTAAGAGCTAGGTTTGATGAGGTGATGGAGTCCACTCCACCTAAGTATATATTCCATGAAAGATCCGTAGTGGCCAGAAATCCTTTTGGAAAGTAAGATTTTGTGGCAGGTGAATCTGAAATGCATGTTTATGTAGATCCCCGTATCAAAACACTATAATATATGCACTGGCTACAATGTGGACCTTATGGAGGTACAGGAATAAGTGTATCTTTGACGGCGGAACATTTGAGCAAGGTAGTATAGTTAGAGACATTCTTATTTTTTGTTGGAGGTGGCTATCCACCCTCAAACCATCCTTTGCCTATTCTTTCTCTCAATGGAGTAGCAATCCTGGGCCATGTATTTGTTTCAACGGGTGTGGATAGGGTAGCAGGTTCTGATTATGAGGAGATAGAAATGTACTAAGTATTTCTCTATAATCCTGTAAAACTCTATACTTTGTATATGGGTTCAGGTACCCCTTGTACCTGTTATATATTAATTTTGCTGTTATAAAAAAAATGCACTGAAAGTCATGCATGAGGATTTCATTTCGTCGTTGATTCAAGTTTCGTAATGCTCTAAGGTGTTTCTTCTTCTGTAGACATCTAAATGCTTGGATCAAAAGGTCTATTATAACCAAATCTTTATTCACGCACAAACGTCAACTCCAACTTGACAACTTGCTACTTATATTACCTTTATATATTCTCCCAAAATTATCGAATATCCCGCGTAATCTTTCCCAAAATCGTAAAGGGTGCCAAGCCAGGGGATTCTCATTGGATCTCAAAAACTTTCATAAACTTATACTATCAAGTATTTTTAAATTGATTTTTAAATTGAGTTAATCACATATATATATATATACACCGTTAATGTAAAGTTTTTTTTACACTGACAATCAATTATATCTTTTAATTGTGTCATGACACTGTAAATACATTTATTTTTAACAATGACATGACACAATTAAGAGATATAATTGGTTGTCAGTGTAAAAAAACTTTACACTGACAGGATATAAATGATTAACTCTTTTAAATGTTGCACAATATTTCTACGTCAATGTATACATATAAAAATTATTTTCTTTTCAAAATTATTGATTCAAATTAAACTGTAAGAGTAAAATATATAAATATTTATAAGTTCCTTAATATTCGTTCATATCTAATATCTTGTCCTCAAAATTACATAATTAATTTGTAAAAAAGATAAAAAAATATTTTGGCATATTTTATAGAAAATTTAATTGTGCCTATGAATTTTAACATTTAATGCTTTGTATTTTTTTTCGGTTAATTAATGTACTTTTTTAATCCAATTAATTAATGTAGTTTTTGTCGTAATGTCATACTAAGTAGCGAACATTCAAAATTTCAAATCAATGTTCCCCGTTTTGTTTGTTTTTTATACCATCCATTGAAATTTGTCGAAGGAAATATTTCAGTCTTATTGACAAGCACTTTTAAGACATTAATTAATTAAGAAGTCGACAAATAAAACGTTACTAGTAAAATTTATGATGAAGATATATTAATAACATTCACAATTAGTATAATTTTCGTAAAAATTTATTAAAAATTATTCCTCTTGAAGTTCACCATGCAGTACACTTCAATTCTTTCTTCTTTTTTCTCATCTCAAAATTCAATATTTCAATATATAACCTTTTCACAGTGATTGTCAAAAAAAAAATTCTTTTCATGTTACGGTATTGAAATTTTTGTGCATATTAATTTTAATATTTAATATTTTGTATGTGGTTTTGTAAATTAATGTTGTGTTAATCGTGCTAATTAAGTAAAGAAAATTCAAAATTTCAAAACATTGTTTCCCATCTTGCGATTCCTTTTTCTTTGTCTCCCACTCAAATTTGTCAGACGGATTTTTTTTTTTTGGGTCTTACTAACAAATATCTTAAAAACAATAATTAAGAATTAAAAAAAAGTATTAAATTTTACAATGAAACTATATTGATAACATTGATTTTTACATTTTTCATAAAAAAATACTTTAATTTTTTAACAATTTCTTAACATTTACTTGCATTGTCTAATTTTCATATAAATTAATACTTTGTTGGGATCCATTCGCCTGGCCCACACCTTAATTCCTTTTTTTTTTTAATCTCAATTAATTAATATTTAATACCCTTTTCAGAGAGAGTGTATTAGAAAAGAGGAATACTAAAAATTAATTAAGGGTCTGTATTCTAAAAAAGGAAATATTTTTTTAGTCTTCTGTATTTTTTGTATTCATGCCAAATATTTTTTTTCTTCTAAATATTATAATATATATATATATATATATATATATATATATATGTGTGTGTGTGTTAGTATATTTTATTAATCTTCAATGTACATGAAAAATGATAAAATGAAATGTACTTTTATATCGTCAATTTTGTTAAACACGTGTATATCATGTAACTTTTTTATTATATTATTTCTCAAATCTATTTTCATTATATTATCGTATTATCACATTTTTTTCTGTCGTTTTACCACGACATTGTATAAGTTCTATATGAAATAAAATTAATACTTTCAAACTAAAGAAAAATTTATTTACCTAAATATTGTAATCAATACCCAATAGTTTCAATTAATATTAGGTTTAATGCTACGTTTACATATAATCAATAAAATAGTATTCTGTCATGTAAGTTACTTTTAATTTAACTTTCTTAAAAATCATTTTCACTCTTTTATTTTTATTTTATATATCGTAAGTAAAAAAAATTAAAATTATTTAGATGAGTTTATACTCTGTTAAAAATAAAATTTTGAACTGAGAGTAGGAGAAAGGGAGAAAAAAGTGAGAGAGATAAAATGTGTAGTGTTATATATAAAAAGATTTTTTTTCAATTTAAAAAGTGAGATATATCTCCTACCTTCAATTTAAAAAATGCTTTGAAAAAGAAGTTTAAATAGAGCGTAATAATAAAAACATTTCCAAATATTAAAAATATATTGAAGACATTTTTTTCCTACCTTTTGTAAGATACCATATCGATCTAGGTTCCTCTTAATTAAAAAGAATGAACGGTTAGTTGGTATATCATTTGCAAGAAGGTCCATTATTTATTAATTTGAAAATTCAGGCCTTTTTCCATTGCATATTTTGAAGGTAAAACTGTATCCGAAAACAGAGAAAGCATTTGTGCGTATTGTGGAACTGCCCAATGACCTTCTTTGAGAAAGAAAAAAGAAAATTTTGGTACATTTATTTAGATTTAGATATAGTTAATGTTGTTATCTGATCATAATTAGTGTGTTTTCTCAATAACATGTATTTGTATTAAATATAAATCTAATTAATATACATTTAGGTATATATATTATTGAAGTAAAACTATTATTTTAATTGGATAACTATATTAACTATATATCTAAGAAATTGTATTTAAGTTTAATAAAAAAAAACCTAACAAAAGGTGAAGATGATCATCCGGAGAAAATGAGTGGTCGATGGCGTCTAAGCTTTGAGCCTTCGACCACTTTGTGCATGAGCTTAGAATCCTTGTAGCGTTTGTAGGGTGTTGAGGTTTTAATTTGGAGAAGGCAACAATGGTAGTGTGTTGGCTTGTCGCGAAGCTGATGAGGCATCAAAGGAGAGAAGTCGGAGAGAGAGCCATGCATGCACTCGTTGTTGAAATTTTGGGGTGGTAAGAAAGAAAAAATAAAAGGTTTTACATATATATCTTCCCTTTTGGTAGAACCTCTCAGAAAATTTTGTAGCACGTATTTGTTGTTGATGGTAATAAAGTAAAGGTTAATGACCATTCCAACGTTGTTGCTCTCAGTTCCTTGCTTTTAGTAGCGGGATCAGATTGCATGCATGCGCTCTCCACTCACAACTACGACTCATACAAATAATATAATCCAACAAACACCTTATCTATTTATATGCAAAATCGTCTCTCATTAATATACTTATATGTTACTCCTTTCTATCTTCAATAGGAGGGGCAAATCATATTAAAAGAGTTAGGTAATATTGTTTTATTTTATAAAAATTAAGCTGTCATTTATTAAAACTTGATATAAAAATAAAAAAAATTATTAAAAATACAATCCAACTTAAATAAAATTATATGTTGAAAATATATAGTTGTAATAAATAAGATATAATTAGCCATTTTTTTATTTTGAATCAATATAAATAAAAATATTTATTTTCATTATTTTAAAATTTGAAATTATTATTTTTAGTTAGTTCATATTATTATGTGATATTTATTAATTATTTATATGTTTATTGAAAGATTAAGCGACTATGTTGACATGCAATGTGACACTTCTAATTTTTTTTATAAATCATTAAAATAAATATTATTTATTTACCATAAAATGAACATTAATTAAAGATAAAAAGAAAACTAATGACTTCATATTTGAGAGAGATGAAAATAAAGACAGTTATTTTCCACTTATCAAAATTAAAATTTGTTTATTTTATATAGACTAAAAATAATAGTTTTAAATATTATTAAAAATATATTTAAATTTAACAAATATATAAATATTATAATAATAATAAGTGTGGATAAAGTATTTAATATTATGAATGTGTGTATTTCATCGGTCGATAATATTATTGTATTTTCACACCCCAAAAAACTAGGGGAGAGGCAAAGATCCATGAAAGTGGCAAGAGAGAGATTTGCAAATCCTTTCCTTGTCCTTCACGCCTCTTGGCTCATTCAGAAATGCTATATTCTTTTTTCATATTTGATAGAATAAAAAAAAAATACATAATACATTTAATTTTCCATTTATTAAATTGGAAGATTTATAACTATACAGGACAGAAACATTTAAAATTACAGGAATATATAATAAATATTTATTTAATTTAAAATAGAGTGGATTGAAATGAAAAGAGAAAATTAGATTATTAGATTAGAGGAGGGTGAGTTAAGTGAAGTGTTAGCCGGTGGGTGGTAAATTTTGTGGGAGTGTGGTGTGGATGCATTTAAAAGGCAGAGAGCCCCTGGAGGCACACTCTACTCTCTGATTCTCTTGATCGAATAAAGAAGAAGAAGGCAAAAAGAAAAGAAGCGGTTTCTTTGTTGTTAGAGAAAGATGGAGTGTATGAAGGGGGAAGAAGCAAAGTGCATGTGGGTGCAGGGCCCCATAATCGTAGGAGCAGGACCCTCAGGGCTAGCAGTAGCGGCATGCCTCACCCGCCACGGAGTGCCCTACGTGATCCTGGAGAAGAGCCACTGCATAACCTCCCTCTGGCAGCACAGAACCTACGACCGCCTCAAACTCCACCTCCCCAAACACTTCTGCCACCTCCCCTTCATGCCCTTCCCTCCCCATTTCCCTAAATACCCCTCCAAGAACCAGTTCATCTCCTACCTCCAGTCCTACGCCGCGCACTTCTCCATCCACCCTCGCTTCAACCACTCCGTTCACACCGCCCAGTACGACCCCGCTTCCCAACTTTGGCTCGTCACCACCCACCACTTTCTCTACATTTCCCCCTGGCTCGTCGTTGCCACCGGAGAGAATGCCGACCCTGTCATTCCCTCCATTTCCGGCATTCACACCTTTCAAGGCCCCATTCTCCACACCAGCCTCTACAAATCTGGCTCTCACTACAAAAACCAGAGGGTCTTGGTCATTGGTTGCGGCAACTCCGGCATGGAAGTTAGCTTGGACCTTTGCAGGCACAACGCTTTCCCTCACATGGTTGCAAGAAACACTGTAAGTAACTATATTCTCCCCATGCATTTTTTCTTCTCGTTTCAAATATCCACTAAACTTGTATACAACTCTTTCACTGCATGCTAAAACTTACATGCAATAATACGTGTAAACATTTAATAAAATATTTTATTATGTTTATTAGAAAAACAACACTGAACAGAACTGTATGTGTGCATATAAGTTTTATCCTAATATATAATAATGTAAATCTTGTTAAAACTCTATTTTGAAATCTTGATATACATCTTTGTTAAATATTTGAGGAAAAAATGAAAGCTTTGTTACATGGAATGGTCCTACCAAATTCAACTGTTTTTAGTGAATGATATGTAAGTTTTGTTGACATTATTTTATTTTTATGGTACAGGTGCATGTGTTGCCTAGGGAGATGTTTGGGTTCTCGACGTTTGGAATAGCGATGACTCTCTTGAAATGGCTTCCGATAAAGTTAGTAGACAAGTTGATGTTGGTGGTGGCTAGGTTGATGTTGGGTGACACCGCTCGCTATGGTGTGAGGAGGCCTAAAACGGGGCCAATAGAGCTCAAATTTGTCACTGGGAAAACTCCGGTGCTTGATGTTGGACAAGTGGCACAAATAAGATCTGGTAACATCAAGGTACGTACGTACGTGTGCATTAATACGGAAACTAAGTTATATTTATACATTATATTATAAATATAATAAGCAAGCAGGCATTTAAGTGTGAATATCTATTGCTAAGGTTTGTTAGGGTTTCAGGTGATGGAAGGAGTGAAAGAGATAACAAGAAATGGTGCCAAGTTTATGGATGGACAAGAAAAGGAGTTCAGTGCTATAATATTGGCAACAGGATACAAAAGCAACGTGCCCACTTGGCTAAAGGTATAAAAATTGACCTTACCTTTTACATTTTACCACCATCTTGTTATAAAACAGTTACGACTTACTACTTCATGCAACAATGAAAGAAAGAGAATAAAATGACTTTGAGGTTTGCGCCTAATAAATTTGAAACTTTTCATTCTAGTGACGTTTCGTATGTAGCAACGATTAGCCACTTGTAAAATCACACCTACGAAAATGCCCCTTTTGTTTGTTTCCGTCGTTCGAGATGGGGAAAAATGCTTGTGAAATTTGCGCAGGAAAAACTGCAGTAATCTCACGCTCCCTTCTCTCAATTCCTTATGCTTTGTTATTATAAACCCATTCCAACCTAGTTTTTGAGTATAGACTAAAATCCTCCCAATATTTGGGTGCATGCAATCACTAAATTTTATACAAATCAAAACTTTCAATTGAATGATAGATTAAATTAATAATGAGTATTTACTTAATTATTTATGGAAGTGCAGAACTGTGAAAGTTTCACGAAAGAGGGAATGCCG